TGTATGTTCGGATCAGGTTTTGGATGACCCAAGAGCGTTTTGGCGCCTAATAATGAAAGTTGATTTTTTGAAGGTTTTAGAAGTTCTTTAAATTTGGCTTGGAGCGGGTTTTGGTGATATCGAGGTTCAAATGGGATTCCGAGATCGAGAATAATTCCTTAATGTCAATTAAGACTTACACGTAAAATTTGGTGTCATTCCGAGTGGTTTAAGCATGTTTAGGCGCATTGTGAGTAAATTGAATAACTTGAAGTTCATAAGTTTGATTCAATTGGTTTTGGGTTATGATTTTTAGTTTTAATGATGTTTCGGGCATTATGAGGGTTCGAGCAAGTCCGTTTTATGATTTCAAACTTATTGGTACATTCGGGCAAGGTTCTGAGGGCCCCGAGTGTCAATCGGACGAGGCTCGGATCAAGTTGGAAATTAGGACAACTGCTGAAACTCCCAGCTGCTGTCATAATCGCACATGCGCTTGGCCAACCGTAGGTGCGAGTCACTAACCGTAGAAGCGGACTAGCCAAGGGAGGCCAGTGAATGCAGAAGCGGACAAAAGACCGCACCTGTGAAGGTGCAGGTCGAAGCCAGCCATCGCAGAAGCGACTCAAGCTGCAGAAGCGACACTCACACTGCAGAAGCAGGGCCACAAGAGCGGGGCCACAGGAGCGGCCTATGCACTACATGACCCCAAATTTAATGCGGGACTTATCCATTTTGAGCTCATCTATTCCATTGTTTGGGTGATTTTTGGAGCTCTTAGAGAGGGGATTTCACCTAGCAATTTGAGGTAAGTAATTCCTACTCAATGCAAGTTAAATATATATTTTATGGGTAGATTATAACATGTAAATTAGTGAAAATTATGGGTTTAGGTGAATACTTAGGTTTTTGATAAAAATGAGATTTAAGCACGAAATTTGTTATGGAATTTATTAAAAATTATATATTTGAGTTCATGAGGTCATGGGTAATAACTTTCTTGGAAAATTTCCGGAATTCGGGCACTTGGGCCTGGGGTGAATTTTAGGAATTTTGCAAGTAGGCCTGGAAAATCACTTTGATAGTTAGGATATGAACTTTTAAGCATGTATTAATTATTTTATATGACATTTGACTAGTTTTGAGTCGTTTGGCGCCAAATTGAGGTTTTGGGCACAATCTTGGACCGGAAAGTAGGCCTTAAGACGAAGTAAATCTCTTTTCTAACATTGTAAGAGGGAATTAACCCCATAGGTGAACTAAATTAATATGTGTTTCTATTTGTGGGGGCTACGTGCGCACGAGGTGACGAGAGTCAATATGTAGCTACTATTCATGCTTATGTCCGGGTAGTTTTAGGCTTACACCATATTTTATGGACACCGTTATTTGATTATATTTGTTAATTGTATTGAATGGGGCTAAGTTGAGGATCTTAAGTTTCAAAAGTTTCAAGTTGAATTTCTTTATTTTGAAAGGAATTGAGGGATGCTATGATTAACTTGAGAAATTTATATTTAACCGCATCGCAAGTATATTCCGTGAGCGGGGTGAATTTTACACTACTCTCATGGGAGTGGGCCATTTGCCTCGGAAGGTTAATAGATGCATCTATGGTTCGTGCCATTGACCCTCGGCAATGCACACAGTATGTATATGTATATTTTTGGATCGCGTCGTACGTCCTCAGCATAATTCGTGCGTGATGCAAATATTTGGAAGTCCCTTAGTATTTGATATTTATTTATTGGCTTGAGAAATTACATGCTTTAATGAGGGAAAAGATTTGATTCTTACTAGCGGTGAAAATTTTGTTTATTTATTTCTTACTCTGAGTTCTATTGTCATTTATATCTATCATGTCTAATTAGAATTTCATATTATTATATTGTTGGCCCATAGTAAGTGTCGAAGTCGACTTCGTCACTACTTCTTCGAGGTTAGACTAGATACTTACTGGGTACATGTTGTTTATGTACTCACGCTACACTTCTGCACTTAAATATGCAGGACCTGAGGCAAGTGCATCTAGATATCAGTCAAGCACACGCACTTGAGTTCCACTTCGAGACTTCACGGTAAGCTACCTTCTGAGTCGTTCTGCAGTAGCTGAAGTCTTTCTTTTTTATATTTTCTATCTATTTCACTTCAGACAGTAGACTAGCACTTTTTTTGTATATTCTACTAGAATGCCCATACACTTGTGACACCGGGTGTTGGCACACACTAGTAGATTTTTGATTTTGGGTTTTATTACATGATTCTGAATACACTCAGTTACTATCGTGTTATGTATTTTAAATCCATTATTTCTAGAATTTTTTTGCTTAAGGAAAGTTTAATTACTTGGAAAAATTTGTTAAAAAGAGGAAATCACGTGGCTAGTTCACAGTTGGCTACCTAGCGGTGGCTTTAGGCGCCATCACGGTCTATTATAGAATTGGGCCATGACAACATGGTACCAGATCACTAGGTTCATGCAAGTCTCACAAGTTATGGGCAAGCTTGATAGAGTCTTGCGGATCAGTGCAGAGACGTCCATACTTATCTTCGAGAGGCTATAGGGTGTTAGGAAACTACTCTTTATTCATCTTCCATCATGCAAATTATGGTATACTAAGTTGTACAAATTATGGTATACTAAGTTCTTTCTCTTATTCTCTCATAGATGGTGAGAACACGCACGACAGACATTCCAGATCCGAGAGGGGCTTCTCCCCCTATTGCTAGAGGCCGAGGGAGGGCACCAGCCCGAGGTAGCGGATGAGAATGTCCCAGAGTTTCCCCAGTTGTACCACTAGTGGATCTAGTAGATGATTTCATAGTCGAGGAGCAGGGCGAGGTGCCCGCAACAGAGCCTGCCCTGGTAGATTTCATGTTAGTACCGGGCTTTTAGGAGGTCATGGGCCATATGTTGTGGTTCATGGATTCTATGACCCATGCTGGTTTATTTCCAGCAGACCCAACCACATCTCAGGCGGGAGGGGGAGCACAGACTGCTACTGCTCAGGCTGCTGGGCATGCAAATGTCGTATATTAGACCCCAGGTACACTACCCGTGGATAGGGCCTAGCCAGTTGAAGCGGTTGTACCTGAGCCTAGACCAGCTGCGATCGGCGGGCCACAAACTGGATAGATAGACCAGGCTTTACCCTCCTGTCTTTGGGGGTGAGCGACATAAGGATCCCCAGGACTTCATTGATAGGTGTGGGGATAGATTGCACAACATGAGTATATTGGAGTCCCGCAGATTTGATTTCACTACCTTTCAGCTGGAGGGCAGGGCCCGTAGATGGTGGAAGTCTCACCTTCTTGGATGACCAGCAGGTTCTCCTCCTATGACTTCGAACCAGTTTATCCAGCTTTTATTGGATAGGTACATTCTACCCTCCCAAAGGGAAGAGTTACAGTGTTAGTTTGAGTAGCTCGAGCAAGGTCACATGTCAGTGACCGATTGTGAGGTGAGATTCTCTAAGTTGTCTTGCCATGTACTTATGATACTCCCTACTAATGCAAAGAGAGTGCAGAGATTTGTTGTGGGGTTGCACTCTGGTATTCAGGACAGTATGGCCCGGAAGGTCAAGATATAGACTTCTTATCACCTAGTAGTAGAGAATTCTCAGAGGATTGAGGTCTACCGTTAGAGGGGTAAAGAGAAGATGCAGCGGGACAAGAGGTCCTATTTTTTGGAGAGATCAGAGGTGCCCCAGCTGGGGGAAGAGGTCAGTTTGGGAGGGGTCAGCCTAGCAGGCCCATATATCTAGCACCACCACCTCCTCTAGGTGGTCCAGCGCGACCCTATTTTAGTGCCATACCAGAGAGTTTTTACCGCCCACCAGCTATTCAGGGCTTTTCCAGTGGGTACTCAGGTCATCAAGGTTCTTCTAGCACCTATTTCAGTGCTATACCAGAGAGTTCATACTGCTCACCAGCTATCCAGGGTTCTTCTAGTAGGTATTCAGGACATCAGGGTCAGACTTCAGGGCCCTATGGTGTCGAGAGGTTGTTACGAGTGTGGGGATCCGGGTCACATGAAGAGATTTTGTCCCAAACTTCGGGGCAAGGTAGTACAGCAGGGTCATCAGCCCATGATTGCAACACCAGCCATCTGACCACCCAGAGGCGAAGGGCAGGCAGGTAGGGGTCATCCTAGAGTTGGAGGCTAGGCAGGGGAAAGTAAACCAGCTACTGTTCAGTTAGGTAGAGGCCAGCCAGTCAGCGATCTAGCTAGGTTCTATGCTTTTCCAGCCAGACCAAATGCGGTGGCTTCAGATGGCGTGATCATATGTATTATTTATGTCTGCAGTAGGGATGCTTCGGTATTATTTGATCCAGGGTCTACCTATTTATATGTATCATCTCTTTTTTTTCATTTCCTAGATATTCCTCGTAAGTCCTTGGGTACTCCTATTTATGTGTCCACTCATGTGGGCAATTTTGTGGTTGTGGATCGGATCTATTAGTCCTGTGTGGTCACATTCTGTGGTTATGAGACTAGAGTGGATCTTGTGTTGCTCGATATGACCGACTTTGATGTTATCCTAGGCATGGACTGGTTATCCCCATATCACGCCATCCTTGATTGCCATGCAAAGAGTGTTACCTTAGCAATGCCAGAGTTGCCTAGATTGGAGTGGAAGGGTTCGTCTATCAATACATCCAGTCGGGTTATCTCTTTTATGAAGGCTTGACACATGGTCGAGAAGCGTTGTTTGTCTTATCTATCTTATATTTGGGATACTACCATAGAGACTCTGGTGATTGGTTCGGTACCAATAGTTTAGGAGTTCATCAATTTGTTTCATTCTAACCTTCCAGACATACCACCAGATCGTGATATTGATTTTTGTATTGACCCAGCTCCAGGTATACAACCTATATCTATCCCACCATACCGTATGGCTCCAAAAGAGTTGAAGGAGCAGCTTGAGGAGTTGTTAGCAAAGGGGTTTGTCAGGCCAAGTGTGTCCCCTTGGGGTGCACCAGTGTTATTTGTGAAGAAGAAAGATCGGACTATGCGGATGTGCATTGATTACCGCCAGTTGAACAAAGTTACCATCAAGAACAAGTACTTGTTGCCGTGTATTGATGATTTGTTTGACCAGTTGCAGGGTGCTAGGGTGTTCTCTAAGATCGACTTGAGATCAGGGTATCATCAGTTGAAGATTTGGGACTCGGATGTTTCGAAGACTTCTTTCTGTACAAGATATGGCCATTATGAGTTTCTGTTGATGTCCTTCGGCTTGACTAATGCCCCAGAGACATTTATAGATTTGATGAACAGGGTGTTCAGTCCTTATATTGATTCATTTGTCATTGTCTTCATTGATGACATTTTGATCTACTCGCATAGCATGGATGAGCACGAGCAGCATTTGAGAGTGGTGCTTCAGACCTTGCAGGAAAAAAAGCTATACGCTAAGTTCTCCAAGTGTGAGTTCTGGCTAGATTCTGTGGCATTCTTGGGACATGTTGTATCAAGCGAGGGTATTAAGGTGGATCCAAGAAGATTGAGGCAGTTCAAAGTTGGCCTCGCCCCACTTCGGCGACTAAGATCAGGAGATTCCTAGGGTTAACATGTTATTATCGTCGGTTTATGAAGGGTTTTTGGTCTATTGCAACACCTTTGGCTAGATTGACCCAGAAGGGTGCTCTGTTCCGTTGGTTCGATAATTATGAGGCGAGCTTTTAGAGGCTCAAGACAGCTTTGACTACAGCACCAGTTCTAGTGTTACCTTCCGGTTTAGGGATGTATATAGTTTATTGTGACACTTCACGCGTTGGCTTAGGTTGTGTATTGATGGAGGAGGGGCGAGTTATTGCATATGCTTCACGTCAGCTTAAGATCCATGAGAAGAATTACCCTATGCACGACCTAGAGCTAGTCGCGATTGTTCATGCTCTTAAGATCTGGAGGCATTATCTTTATGGGGTGTCCTGTGAGGTTTACACTGATCATGGCAGCTTGCAGCATTTGTTCAAGCAAAGAGATCTCAATTTGAGGCAGCGCAGATGGCTTGAGTTACTCAAGGATCATGACATCACCATTCTTTATCACCCGAGCAAGGAGAATGTAGTCGCGGATGCCTTGAGCAGAAAGGTGGAGGGTATGGGTAGCTTGGCATTCATTTTAGTAGAGGAGAGGCCACTAGATTTGGACATTCAGTCCTTGGCTAACAGACTTGTGAAGTTGGATATTTTAGAGCCCATCCGAGTTTTTGCATGCGTCGTTGCTCAGTCTTCACTATTGGAGCAGATCAAGGCTCGATAGTTTGATGATCCGCATTTGATGGTGCTTAGAGAGACAGTACTACATGGTGGTGCCAAGGAGGTTTCTACTAGAGAGTATGATGTTCTGCGACTCCAGGGTCGTTTATGTGTTTATAATGTCGACACCCCAAGAGAGAGGATTCTAGAGGAGGCACACAGTTCTCGGTATTCCATTCATCCAAGTGCTACAAAGATGTATCGCGACCTGAGACAGCATTATTGGTTGCAGCGGATGAAGAAAGACATAGTTGAGTATGTAGCTAGGTGCCTAAATCGCCAGCAAGTTAAGTATGAGCACCAGAGGATAGGTGGCCTACACCAGCAGATGACTATACTGAAGTGGAAATGGAAACGCATTACTATAGACTTCGTAGTTGGGTTGCCGCCGACCTTGCAGAAGTTTGATGCAGTTTGGGTCATTATTGATAGGTTGACCAAGTCGGCACACTTCATTCCAGTTATGACTACGTATAATTTAGAAAGGTTGGCCCAGATTTATATTCAGGAGATAATTTGGTTGCATGGTGTGCCTATTTTCATCATATTAGATAGAGGCCCTCAGTTTACTTCGCATTTCTGCAAAGTAGTACAGAGTGAATTGGGGACCCGTGTAAAGCTCAGCACAACACTTCATCTATAGACCGACAGGCAGTCGGAGCAGATAGTTTATGTCATGACCCAAACTGGAGGGCCGTGACTAGCACCCGACCATACTTGCCGAGCACCAACATACATTTTATCTAACCTTTTTTTATTATNAAAAATATACGCCTCTGTGGACTTCATCATCATCATATCGTACCCAGCCGTAATAGGCTCGGTAAAAAAACGTACCCAGCCATCATAAGGTACGGTAGAATCGTACCCGGCCACGTGGAGCTCGGTAAAACCCAACTGATCAGTGATTGCACAATAGGTGTCGTACCCGGCCGACTATAGCGGGGCTCGGTAGAGTAAAATAGATACATATATATAATGCATGCTCGACTCATGGAATCACATTCTAAACTTTTCGGAGTGACGTAAGGTCGGTATCCTCTGTGCACGTTATTAGGATTAACTCTTCACTATGAACCTTATAAGAATCAAGAAGTACCAACAACAATGATAACATAAGAATAAAAGAAGTAACATTAACATCAATCGTTCCATAAGAGGGAAAGTAATGTAAGTACTGCTAGCTTCTAAGAGTAGAGTATCTTGGAAGCTCGTTCATTACATTATGTACAATCGGAGTCGTGCAAAAGAAGGAAAGGGATAGCCTCACATACCTTGTATATACTTCCCCAATCACAAGCTATGCAATTGTCACAACTCCTTAGTCTACAATAAGAGAAACGATACTATCGTTATCATTTAAGCGTCATAACTATTATGTATCGACCACAACCTATTTTACGCTGAAACGGACAGCACCTCCCCTATATATATGACTTCACACCATTCAAAACAATCACCAAACAGCCCAAACAACATCAATAATAAACATATTGAGCCTCCCAAAACAGTCCACGCACAACCTAATTACATCATACATACGACGACCACCGTAGTCGTGCCAAACGACCCGAAAATGTTACGAATAACTATCAGCCAACAATCCTACATATATATGGTGTTTCTCCACACCCTTCCACCTCCAAAACTCCAAAAAATAGTAGTAAAACACACAGCCCAACAGCAACAGAAAACAGTCCACAAAACAGTTCGCTACAAGTGAATAACTTGAACTCACGGCTTCCGATCACCGTCCCTTGAGTTCTTACATGTATAGAACGAATTACCATGAATTAAAAGCAGAGAAAAATGTATGAAAGATGGCAGTAAATTACCTTACTTCTTGGATAACTCAGCCCTTCCCTTGGTTCTTCAAACTCTAGGTTTTACCTTCAAATAGAACTTGAAAGAGAGGGAAAATCGATTAGGGTTTGTGTGGGATTTTTGGGGAGGGGTTGCAGGGGTTAACTTTGGTTTTGAGGATCTGAAATATGGATGAAATAACTGAGTTCATAACCCCTTAAAATTCCTCTCTTGGACGACTTAGGTCTTTTAATTTTGTCCTATCATTTTGGCAACTAGGTGATGCACTTACTTGTCATCTACCAATCTGCGCAGGCTTGTGAAAATATGAATATCTCTATACTCCGATATGGTATTGACAAATGGTTTAATGCATTGCAAACTAAACTCATAGATCTTTAATTACGTGGGTAGATCACCCCGTAATTCCTTGTAAATTAGGAGAAAAGCTTATAAACATTTGACCTAATGCTTAAGTAAAATTATGAACCTAAGTTGCGACAACGTTTGTAGACTTTTGTCTCATAACTCTTTCGACTTCAAGACTTATGATACGGATATTATATGATTCAAATACCTTAATACATGACCTCTTTAGTGTATTAAGAACCTCTAGGTTTACCTGAAAATAAGAGTTACAACATCCTTGATTCGTTTAACTTCTAATACTTGTTAATCACCCTTATACACCCTTGTATCACTTAAGACCAATAGGATTAACTTCTTATCATCTCAAAGGTAATTCATTCTTGTACTTATGTTAACCAATATATGGCATGAACTAACGCGTGTGGATATGGGTTGTAACACCCTTCCCCCCTTAGGAACATTCGTCCTCGAATGTAAGGGTTCATGGGGAGTTTAAATCATCGTGGATTCCGGCCAAGTTTCTCCCATAAATAGAGGACAAACTTGCAAGCGGTTAACTCAACGTATGGCCTTACAAGAGTATGCAAAGCATTATGGACATGTACATTATCTGCATATCGCCATTTTGTATTAAGGAAGAGTATTCTCAAGTTATTGCTTACCTCATAGAGCCATTTCACCTTCCAATGTATCATGTGTTCCACCAGCATCCTTGTTATCTTCATTCTGGAATAGGTACGGGTATTTAGACTTCATCTGCTCTTTTGCTTCCCATGTCATTTCTTCCATATTCTTGTTCCTCCACAATACTTTGATGGAAGTTACATCTTTTGTTCTCAGCTTGCGGACTT